TGTGATGTTGATCTCGATATTGTTAGGGGTTACCTGTCGAATCTGGACAGGACAGCCTTTCAGGCCTTTTTTTATTCTTTTTTTTAGGCTATTTCAGCCCTTTTTTTTAATTATCATGGGCCCTTTTTTTTTGTTTGGAAAAACAAAAAAATGGAGTGGGGAAAAAAAAAAAAAGTTTGATAACCGCCGCATCCCTCGCCGCCCCCGCTCTTCCTCCCTCTCCTCGACGTCTCCCCTTCCGTTTCCCGCCAAAGCACCTACTCTCTGATACTCGCAGTGAATCTCAAAAGTATCTGCTGCCAGCTTCCACACCAGGGCCGGAATGTGGCCGTGTTTGAGGACAGGTGCAGAAAATGGCGTGGGGTTTCCTCAACCGCAGATCTCCACAAACACGTCCCGATTCGGGCGCTGAGGAAACTCAACGCTGCCGATTCGGGCGCTGAGGAAACTCAACGCTGGGGCCAAGGCCCACTAGCAGCGTTGAGCTACCTCAACGCCTGAATCTGGACGTGTTTGTGGAGACGTGCAGTTCGGGAAACTCAATACCATTTCTGCACATCTCCGCAAACGCGTCCAGATTCGGGCGTTGAGGTAGCTCAACGCTGCTAGTGGGACTTGGCCCCTGCTACGTAGTGGGACTTGGCCCCACGCCCATGTCCCTAAATGGTAAGCACAAAAAAAAAAATAATAATAATAATAATAATAAAGGTCAACACTCATGCAACAGTCATGAAAGAGACAATGCATAAAATAAAAAAAAAAAAAAAAAAAAAAGGGAATGCGTTCGAATGTTGCTGGGGCGTTCGAATGTTGTGGAGAGGTGCAGAATGTCGAGATTGAACTGCTTTTCCGCATCTCCGCTTAAAACACGTCCAGATTCAGGAGACTTATCCAACCCTCTTCGCTAGTGGGACCTCGCGCCCTGAAAGCACATGGATAGACATATCAGACAAACAGACGTCAACAGAAAAGGAATATCGCCACGCAAGACCAGCCCGCTATACAGACGTCAACAGAAAAAGAATATTGCCACGCAGGACCAGCCCGCTATACAGACGTTAACAGAAACGTTGTGCAAACGCAACTAACTCAGCAACTGTCACAACCAAACCCTAGTCCTCCCGACTAAGACTTAGTCCCCTTCTACTCCTCCTCCTCCTCCCCCTCTTCGTCCTCCTCCTCCCTCTCCTCTTTCTCCTCTTCCTCGTTCTCCTCCTCCTCTTCCTCCTCCTCCTCCTCCTCTTTCCCCATCCCCCCAAAGCCTAGTCTCTGCCATCAGCCACTCCTACTGCGTCAAAGTCAACGGTGTGAGTGCACATGTGTGTGCGCAAGCGCGCACCTTTTTCTGTGAACGTGTCCGTCATCACGTCCAGGTGCATAGTGTCTTCCCAATGTCGCTGCCATACAAACACAGCGCACGTACTTCAGCCTCCCCGTGAGTCGCAGAAACTCCAACGAAACAGTCCGTCACAGCCCCCCATTTATTCTCCTTCTCTCCCTTTCCACCGTCAGTTCACAGGGCCCCTCTCTCTCTCTCTCTCTCTCTCTCTCTCTCTCTCTCTCTCTCTCTCTCTCTCTGTTTATATATATATATATATATACATGTATAATAAAGAGCTGCACTGTGAACCGTTTAGGTATAATACATATATCTAAGTGTATATATTAGGTGAGCGGATTTCAGAGAGGGAGTTGGCCGCTGTCAGCGATGAGTACTTTGCGTTTGGGAGTGCCTTGTTGGGATCCCTCCGCCTCGATCTTGTACACCACGTCCATCCCACTGATGACCTTTCCAAAGACCACGTGGCGGCCATCCAGCCAGCTGGTGGTCACCGTGCAGATAAAGAACTGCGAGCCGTTCGTGTCTCCTCCCGCGTTTGCCATTGACAGCACGCCTGGGCCCGTGTGCTTCAGCTTGAAGTTTTCGTCCTGGAATCTCTCCCCGTATATGGACTCCCCCCCTAGTCCATTTCCCGTCGTTATATCGCCCCCTTGTACCATGAAGCCTGGGATGATGCGGTGGAAAGCCGACCCCTTGTAGTGGAGGGGCTTGCCCAATTTCCCGACCCCCTTCTCGCCTGTGCAAAGCGCGCGAAAATTCTCAACGGTCAGTGGAACGACCTTGCCAAATAAGCCAATCACGATTCTCCCCACGTCTTTCCCGCCAATGGTGACATCGAAGAAGACCTTGTGAGTGACCTCATCCAACCCACCCGTGGAGGAGGAGGAGGAGGATGGAGGAGGATTAGAAGAGGAAGAAGAGGGGGAAGAGGAGGAAGAAGAGAAGGAAGAAGAAACCTTCTTGCTCGCCTCGATGGAAGCGATCGCCACGGAGGCGAAGACGACGATTGCCAAGACGATGCACAAACCCAGCCTGCGGTGTCTTCTTCGGGCAGCCATAGCCGCCGTCCTCAGCGCTGATCTCCCTCCCTCCCCTTCCTGCCCCTCCTCCTCCCCCCCCTCTTTCCCCTCCCCCCCCTCCTCCAACTCGTCGTCGACTCCGGGACGACGGGATATGGGAAGCACCGGATTCCAATCCCGATCGCGCTGTCGCCACGCCAGCGTGTGCGACTGTGTATCTGTCTCTTATACACATCTAGATGTGTATAAGAGACAGCTCTTTCCCCTCCCCCCCCTCCTCCAACTCGTCGTCGACTCCGGGACGACGGGATATGGGAAGCACCGGATTCCAATCCCGATCGCGCTGTCGCCACGCCAGCGTGTGCGACTGTGTATTTTGACCTCAGGAATTTTTTATTATTTTTTGTTTTCCGAGTGCCTCAGGAATTTTGAGAAGGGCAGCGCCAAAGAGCGTTCTCTCGGCGAAGTCAGTGACCCAACGTCTCACAGCCCTCAGAGACACCGGCGAAGTCAGCAGCGAGGTCGCGCACACCTCGCAGAGTCGCCTGCGAAGCCGCACATCCGTGGACCATTCCCTCAGCCACAGTCGCGCGCAGCGGCGTCGCACACAGGTCGCCAGCGCAGTGGCACACCTCGGCGCCAAAGAGCGTTCTCTCGGCGAAGTCAGCGGCTACGTCGCACACTCAAACGACCCTCCTGGGGGCGGCGTCGCACACTGGTCGGACTCACCACCGAAGTCAGCCGCGAATCCACTCACCTCTCAGGCACAGTCAACGGGGAAGTCGCACACACGAAACCGTCCTCTCGGCGAAGTCGCCCACTCAGCGACCGTCCTGTAAGGAGCGCTGCCCGCTCGAACACGCGACAACCGTAGCGCCAAGGCAGCAAGGTGAAGTCGCACACAGAACGACTGTCCTCTTTTTTCCCTGTTTCCCAAAACGGCCCTGAGGAATCAACATTGAAACGAGCTGCCCCATCCAGCCCCCTAAGTCAATTGGTTAGGCATGCAAGTGGCATTCAGGAGGTTGTGGGTTCAATCCCCACGGCTGCCTGCGGGACTCTTGTTGCCAACCCACTGCAGGTGCTCGTGGTGTCTGCTTTTGCTGATTGGCGTTCATGTTGATCGCCGGCCAAGCAGCCGACCTGCTTCGGGTTACTATAGGGTGGCGGCGTGGCGCGTTCCGCCGTGTGGGTCGTCCTCTCTGTCAGCCAGATCGTTCTACGCTATCTATGTTCTGGCCAATCCCGGGGGCTTGCCACGTATCGCTCCGATACCAACCTCACGCACAGCGCGACTTCCTGATCGGAGTGGGATGGGGGCCTGGAAGTGCGAAAAAGGGGTTTTCCAAGGATTTTAGGAAAGTGGGGGTGGAGTCCCGGGTTGGAACTGAGATCTCCTGTGGCAAGTTTCGGGGGTATAGGCGCAAAGAAGGTGTACTTAGGAAGGAGGTTGCTGATGTCGTGCAGCATAAGGCAGATGGCATGCGCAGTGCATCTCAGGCTAAAGATCCGAGGCACTTTCCCGCTATCGCCGTACCGATAGATCTCGAACAAAATCTCAACAACATTGCCCCTGCCAACGAGTTCAACTTTTAAGGCCGAAAAGAAATGAGAATCACCATCTCCTCTGATTTCGCCTTCGTGGCCGGTTGTGTGGCTCGATCGGTCGTCGCCGCCCCTCGGCTTCAGTCCAGGCTTGCCGAGCGAATTTCGAGGCTCGATAGGCCTGATGCCGCCGACACTTTTCGCACAGTCTGCGGGGCCAATAGCAGGCTATGGAATTCCACGGCACCACTGTGAGTTGGTGATATGGAAGGAGGAGGTGGAAGGGAGGGAAACTGGTAGTAACAATGACGAAGACGGGGGATATGAAATATTGTGTTATAAGTTTCCGGGTAATCGGGGCCACTGGGGTCGTTAATTATGGCACAGTGAAAATCCCTTGCACATAATCGATCGTTTTCTGTTAGACAGGGGAATTTCGGGTTTTTCAAGTTTCCTCGTCGTCGGAGTTGTTCACCTTCCTAGTACTCGCGGTATTCTGGATCCCTCAAACTCTCACGATCGGACATCCCAGAGGTAAATTTCGCAGCCATGTCCGTTTAGAAAGTTTGTTCCCCTGCATTCTCATACGAAGCTCCGGGCTGACTCACGCGGGCGAGCGCGTACGCAGCGACTCGGTGTCCTCGAGATCGCGGTCGTTCGCGAACGTGCACATGGAGAAGCAGCGCGGAGGTTCAACGGGTCGATCGCATTCAACATGCATGCAGATATCGTATCCCTGTGGCATCGGGTGAGATCAGATCATCACATATCATACATGGGACCAAAGGAGGGGAGAGGGGGGGGAGAAGAAGAAGAAGAAGAAGAAGAAGAAGAGAAAGGATCGTCCACTTCTTATAGCACTAGTGTTGATCGAAAGTTAACGACTAAACCAAAACATTCATAATCGAGTGTATGACTCACGCAATTGAGCAGTAGACAGAGTCGAAACGGACATCGCAAAACAAGTTTTGAAAATCCGAAGAGGGCGCTAATAAAGGGGGTTCGCATTCATTCCATGCATACATACAAAATACAAATGACAAGGAAAATCTGAGGCGATTTACAAGAGAAGTTCAAAAAAGAAGGCCGCGATGAAATCGACCATATCCGGATCCAAAATTACACAGATGGACAAAGGGAAAGAAAGGAACGACGAAAAAAACCTTATCCCGCGCCCACACAACTGTGCTGTCTCTCTCCCTTTCTCTCTCTCCGCGCTCCCGATGCGGGCAGTCAATCACCGCGCATCAACACAGAGTTGTCACCCCGCTTGGTTCGAGCATGCAAGCCAGGCTCGCCCATGCACCACAGTCCGTCGTGGCCCCGCACGTCAACCCTGCACACCCCACATCAGCTCGTCGAATCGCCCAACTCTCACACTCACTCACCTTTCAACTTGCTCGTTAGCCGACCCTCACTGATCGCGCTAACCTCGAAAATCTTAGAGAGCATACTAATCGCGCTTGCAAAATTTATAGCATGCATGTATGCGCGAAAGGTATGGGATTAAGCCCAGATGGACAAGAAGAGAAGAGAGGAAGTGCCTAAGTCTGCATGGCCAGGCCGTTGTGTGGGGGTCGTAGCCATACTCCACCCCTCGATCCAATCATGCACGCGTTCAGACCAATTAGAATGGAGCATGCGAGGCGAGGAAGAAGGAGAAGGCGGGCAAACACAAGGGAATCAAGAAAGAAGAAAGATACAGTTACAATCGCGCCCGCCAAAACGATAGTTACCCAGGATTAAGGACACGATCTAGTTAGAGTCCAGTTCCCAGTGCAGCAAGATGCGCGCAGGCGCAACAAAATTCAGAGTACCTAAATTCATATCCTAAGTCCTAATTGCAAAGGGAAATTCGAAAAAAGTAGAAAAAAAAACAATTTATCGAGCCCGCGGGAGCTCGACATCAGTTGAAAATTCAAAAACGATATTCCTGCACGATGACCACGCCGAAATTCCCGGTGCTCACAGCAGAACAAGAAAGAAGCTATGGTGCAGTTATTTCTTGCGCCCGTCATGGTGCGACCACCCAACCGTCGGTACGGGATTTTCCCGACATCGATCCGTCAACTTCCAACAGAAAACGAAGAGAGACGAGGGCATCCATGCAACTAGCCCTCCCGACCGATCTTTCCGCAGCCCACCCCTTCGACCCGTCGCATTCCCCCAAGTAGCTTCGCGCAGAAAGTTGCGCGATTACAGAAAATAGTTCGTCACAATGCTGGCAGGTTTCTGTTTTTCCCAGTTCTTTCTCGATTTTTCTCACATGCTTTCTGTCTATAGGTCTACTTTAAAAAAAAAAAAAAATGATGTAGTCAAGGGACGCTGGACCCGGTTTCCAACAGGTGATGCTCCCCACCAATAGATGGAGCGGCCCACCAAACAAAGGGGCTCTTTAGACACTCCTCGGGCATGTAAAGTCCCTGAGGAATTGTTCGTTCCACCTATCCTCGGGGATGCAGTCGGAAAAAAAAGTGAAAACACTCCGAAGGAAATTCCTTGGGCTCCGAGGGTTCGCCAGCCATTTCTTCCTTTTGCGACTTTTACCCAAGAATCCGCGTTTCACGGAGAGGAGAGAGTACATGGGTAGAGAAGACATTACAACCGAGAATCAGGGTCGTGGCAACACATTATTGGCTGAAGGCCTGAAGCACATTTGATTTTTCTTTTCTTTTCTTTTTTCTTTTCTGACGTTACTCGACGGAAATGTCCTCGGGCGACGTCCCCGAGGACAGGTGGACTATATCCCAAAAGCCACTTGTAGTCGAGAAATGAATTATTTGCTGTGCTGAAACCGCGCAAATATGACAATTCATTCCACAACACTAGATATCACTTACAAACTTAGAGGAAAGTTAAGAAAACCCAGGCAGGATAACGATCACTCCAAAATGTATTGCGTTGTACGAAAGCAGAACGTCTTGGCATGTGCACCTTTAGAGTCCTTTCATTGAAGAAGCAGAAAATAGATGCACTTCAGACATCCCGAATTTCGTTTGTAGTTCAATAAAGCAAGAGGCAAAGACACACTAGAAAAAAAGAAAAGGAACAAGCACTCCAAGAATGTACGGTCTTGTACCGAAGCAGACGTCTCGACATTTGCATGTTTTAGTCCTATAACATATAACGCAAAAAATTGTTGCACCTTTGAAATTTTCAATTTCATTTATAGTTCTATAAAACATGACGCACACACATGAGAGAAAAAAGAGAAGGAACAAGCACTCTGAAAATGTACGTCTTTATACCGAAGCCAGACGTTTTAACATTTGCGTATTTATAGTCCTAAAAATTGGAACGCAAAAAATCATCTCAGATTTGGAATTCGCGATTCTGTTTATAGTTCTATAAACCGTGACGCACAAACATGCGAGAAAAAAAGAAAACAAAGAAGCACTCTGAAAATGTGCGCCCTTGTACCGAAGCCAGACATCTTGACATTTGTGTATTTATAGTCCTATAAATTGGAACGCAAAAAACCATGTCAGCTTCGGAATTCTCTATTCCGTTTATAGTTCTATAAACCATGACGCACAAACATGCGAGGAAAAAAAAATAAAGAAGCACTCCGAAAATGTGCGT